CCCCCCCCCCCCCCCCCCCCCCCCGACCTGTAGGAATATAGAAACTATAGCAGTAATAAAATCAATACAGATTAAAGACTCTCAATTATTAGTTTTTGAACACTGTTGGCTACTCAAACAATGCATCTAAAATGTTCGATAGTGGTAAAAAATTGGCACATAAGCGCTTTCAGTCTATACACAGTCAAATAACATCCCAGGTCAAACAAGCCCGGTTGTACACTGCTAGAAACAGCAGTACACGTAATCGGTTTTGGCTTTTACGGACACCGTAATCATTGCCCTGGGATATTTCACAACGATAATAACTATTCAACATAACGAGCTTATATGTTCTCTAGGACAGGTATTATCGGCTGGAATCAAACTAGATGTGTCACATTTAAATTTAAGTTTTTGTATGAGAAAAAATTAAATTAATTTTAAATTTAGCTTTATAGAATTAAATTTAAAATTAAATTAACTTTTCACGAAATTAAATTTAAATTAAATAAACTGTAAATTGACACCCCTAAATCAAACAGAAAACTCGTGATTTTTCGGATCCCACTTTTCAGAACATGTCTCACGTGTTGCAGAAAAATGTGCCGCCATATGCATTGAAGAAGAACAAGTGCGACACATTTTAGTATGAACTAAATCAGGATTGGTGGAACAATTTGTACAATCATAAGTAATTTTGAAATTGAAAATATGAATTTATTTACTTGATTTAGACTTATTTGAACGACTGTAAAAGTAAATAAATTTACTTACTTCTTTATCACGAATTTCCTAGGTAAATGAATCCGATAACGGAACCTATCAGATCCGAATCGATCTTATTGTTAGATTCAATGTCCTGGCTCGAATTAATTTGTTGTGAATTATAATGGCACGCACGTCAGGGTCCCCTCTCTTCAAAAAAGTTGACTTTTTCGAAAAAAAACGGAAAATTGATTTTTATCATGGATGAATGCTCCAAAGTCTTCTCCTTCAGAATATATACCGACTTTTCAAAACGAGTTTGATTTTAAGGGATTTATTCGAAAATATACTAAACCCTACTGTCGTGTTTCCGAGAAATCTCTTAAAGGCTAACCTTTTCTTAAAAAGCTTGTATATATTCTGAAAGAGGACATGTTGGAGCATCCACAAATGGTAAAAAATCAATTTTCAAGTTTCTCGGTAAAAATCGTGTTTTTGTGGGATGCCGGGGGGTACCAACCCGCACCCCCCCCCCCAACATACGCTCAAACNTTCTATCAGTTATTAATCAGGGATCGTTTTCGATCACTTTTTTCAACTTTGTTTCCCGAAAATCGACATTGACAATTTTTTCTCTGGGGTACCCAGCAGGTATCATCAACAACAAAATTTGCTATTTCACGAGTCAAAGCCAGACGCAGTTGTAGATTTAAGGGTACTGATTACAAATATCGTAATTAGAAGTGTCAAAATTACTTTGCTTCCGAAGTAGCCGAGGCCACTCGGTGGACACTATTTTTCATTGTTGAGACTGTTATACAATAGCATTTGTTTATAAATTAAGTAGAAAATATATTTACTAATCGAAAATGTTGCGTTATTCACGAATCTGAACCTTTGACACCGAAAAAACAAACCTTTAGGAAAAATCGATAACGATTCGGTAATAAAAATTGATCGTTTGTTTAATGCATCAGTTTTTCATTTAATAGTTTGTTGTGAATTGAACCTTGCCACAGCGTCAAGTTTTGATCATAAGGGTAGTTTTTCAAGCTATATTGACTGGAGATCTTTAAAATATTAGAAAAGTTGTGTAACAGGGTAAAAGTTAAGAATACTATTTAATTTCTATAGTATTTGCTGTAGGGGACCACAGCTACGATTATATATGAGATCGTGAAATCAACTTATATGTAGCCCATCTTGCAGAACTTAATCAGCTGTGCACACATTAAAAAAATAATTGGCTTGCGCTCTTTCTTTCGATTTAAAAATTTATGTGAAATTTTACCTCCTTGCAGCGACTCAAAGATCTTGTAAAGCGAATTTGTGAGTCGAAAGAAAGAGCAGAAATCCATCATTTTTTTACTCTGTGTACAGTTAATTAAGCTGTACAAGATGAGCTAAATATCTGTTGATATCATGATCATATATATTTTAGTGGCGGTTGTCCCCTATAGCAATATTATAGAAATTAATCGTGTTCTTAACTTTTCACCCTGTTCACAAATTTGCTATTATTTTTAAGATATCCAGTCGATAGAGCTTGAAAAACTACGCTTATGATCAAAATTTGACGTTGCGGCAAGACTTTCTTCATTATCTAGGTAGATAAATATGACGAGAAGGGGTCAAATTTTACCCCAGAATCCCTGTATTTTTATCCATGCGCTAGAGTTTTTCGATGTAAAAAATTCAGATTCGAACAGAACTCAAAATTATGAGTTAGAGGAAATTATTTTTCATCCAATTTCATCGTGTGGTTATTCGATGAGGGCCCAAATCACGAAACATAGTGTCCATCGAGTGGTCTCAGCTACGTCGGAAGCAAAATAATTTTGACACTTCTAATTACGATATTTGTAATCAGTACCCTCAAATATACAACTGCGTCTGCACTGTAAAAAAATTCGTAGAATACTAAACCCTTAAGGGTTTATGAAAATTTTCAAAAACGGGAAAAGGGTTTACTATACGCTGCACTTTCATCAACCCTTTTTGGGTTTAGTATTCTACGGATTTTTTTTACAGTGTGGCTTTGACGCGTGAAATAACAAATTTTGTTGTCGATGATACCTGCTGGGTATCCCAGGGAAAAAAATTGTCAATGTCGATTTTCGGAAAACAAAGTTGAAAAAAGTGATCGAAAACGATCTCTGATTAATAGCTGATAGAAATGATGCTAATCTGAGGGTGGGGGAGGGGCGCAACCTGGCCTTATCCGCCCTCATCCTTTGTTTAAGTCTTCTAAGGGTTAAGTGGAAGTGATTGAAGAAATAGTGTTAAAATTTGTTGTTGTCTTATTACTTCCTATCACAGAAAACAGGTTAGAAACATCTTGTATCAATCGCTTGAAGTCGATAATAATCATACAGCCTTCAGCGTTAAATTAAGAAAACTCCACGTGCATGATGAATCGTTTTGGTGATATTGATGCTTCATTTAAAAGACTTACACCTGTATATGGTTTTCGCAGCGCAAAATGTGTTCCTATCGAAAACGCCCTAGAATCAATTGTGTCTCAAATCGATGAACTACCATACTATATAAAAACAGCTAAAAAATATTGTCATTTTCCATCCGAGCATGGATTAACACGTGATGAATCGGCTGCTATCTACATTTATACAATGGAATGGGGTGATACTGCATTGTATCGTGTATTGAACCAAGCATTACGATCAGAAAATCGTCAAGCATTAAAAATATGGTTTCCATATTTGAGATTATTCGATGAGGCACTACGCAAGTTGCCAACTGTCAAAGAAGTACTATGGAGAGGAATTTCTCTTGATATTGGTAGGAGTTTTGTTAGAAACCAAATAGTGACATGGTGGAGTGTTAATTCGTGTTCGTCGTCGGTCAACGTCATTAAAAATTTTATTGGAAAAGAAAAAAATTCAACTCTTTTTCTTATTGAGGCTGTAAACGGTAGGAAAGTCTCCGGATATACCGAATTTGAGAACGAAGAAGAAATAGTCTTACCAATGGGTTCACAATTTCGAGTGAAGAGCGATCCTTTGGAACAATCGAATGGCTCATATCTCGTACATTTAATAGAACTTGATAATGAAGAAAATGAACTATCAGCAACGGCTACTAACAATATATTGCCAACGGTGACAGCATCATATGAAAACAGCTCATGTAAGTGATATTTTTACTTATTCCTCTTGAAATAAGGGTTTATTTTCATTGAGAGTGTATAAAATAATCGGCAGATAATGCCAGAATAATAATGAACGGTTACATGTTATAAATAGAAGACTAACTAGGTAATCATATAGAAATTTTCCAGCAAATGAAAGATCTAAAATGTTCTCAACTAGAATTTGCAACCAATAAGAAAGAATGATTGCTAATTTTTCAATGAAATTGCCACAGATTGTTTTTCGTTAGCGAAACTAGTATCTGTTAGAATACGATTATTTTAGTACCTCTCAAAGATTTACAATTAGTTTTCGCATCTATTCATGCACTCATTCGTCAAGTCTTGAGCTCTTCGTGTTCCCACGTCGAACATTCCGGCCACCGAATCCCGTGGGATACTCCAGGAAATATGCGGGGAACTCACCATACCCTGCAGGAAAACATGAGAAATCGCTGGAACATGGAAGCAGTATTCCGGTCAAAAATAAGGTCTGACTTTTCCGGCGGATTCCTGCCAAATTCTGGTGCTCTACGGCAGGAATTGATTTGAAATCACCGGAAAAAAATCAGAAAAATTTCCAACCAGAATACTGCTATCACAAAGTCAACGGAAGTACCCGGAACTGGCCGTATCCAGGCCGGACTGTTAGACCTGGATTTGAATACAACCTAATTCAATTGATTTAAATGATTAAATTTAATGTTCTTATCATATATCTAGAGTGCATGTTTGAAAAAAAGACGCGCTTGAAGCAGACTAAAAAAGTTGCGTTTATCTATTAAAAGAAAAAACTCTGACAGTATGCTGATATCCACACAACTCTGATACCGCCGAGTTGTCATTTATATATCACATTATCTTGTAGCAAAATGCACAATGAAAAACATCTATCTGTCGTTTGCATGTCTCGAGTGTCTAATATCTCACCAAGGGTTCTGCTTGAGTTGACCGGTTAGTGATGAAATATGTAACATCGCCAGATCTTAATGATCAGCATACTTGAAAATAGTTTCAGATTCTTTGTTTTCATCTTCATGATGATATGAATCACGCAAGTGGAAGAGTGAAACTTGTTACGCTTTATCACGCTCAGCTTATCTAACTTGTTCTCTCTAATGTGCTAACTGTTTTTTCTTTCTGTCTAGAATCTTTCTAAGACAATATCTCTAACACAACATCTATATTTCAGATACAACTCTTTTCATTGAAGAATTGTTGAGTGTTTTAATATTATTAACATGATATAAGTATTATATATATTTTTCGATTGATTTGACACGATACGTTATATCGGTTACTCTGCAAAATAGTGTTATGAAACTTTGAAGTGTTAATTAAGGGTAACAAGCGAATATAATATCGGAATCACATCTGTTACTTTTAAAGTAAATTCTCCTTGTCTGATTTCGACCACTCGAAAATACGCCGATAATTTTACTTAGTATTATGACAAGATCGTTTTGCCTATTTTTGAATCATTCACTGATATTTAAGATACTTGAGTAAATACTCAACATCTCATGATAGCTCAGATGTTTTCATGTTGAAAAGGTTTCATGCACTAGGTAGCATTGGCATTGAACATACGGTAACCGCGAAAAGGATGATTACTATTACGAGCAAAATGTTGCGCGACTCTTTCCAAGTGGATGTTGCAAAAGAACCCGTATTTGAAAAGTCTTTGCCTTGTATAGAAAAAAATCTTATCCCTAATTGATTTTAGTCACACCAGCTCGTGGGACAGATGTTGCTCTCGCGCCATCGGTTAAATGGTCACTTGAGGGTACCACTGTGGCTGGTGGTCATGGGAAAGGTAGAGAATTAAATCAACTCGACCATCCACGTGGGTTGTATGTGCACGATGATTTCACGATTTATGTGGCAGACGGTGACAATCAGCGCATTATGGCTTGGCCACTCGGAGCCAGACAGGGTCAAGTTGTCGCCGGTGGAAATGGGTGTGGAAATGAATTGCACCAATTGCATTATCCCTCTGATGTAGTTGTCGATCGATCTAGTGATACTCTTGTCATCTGCGACTGGAGGAATCGACGTGTGGTTCGTTGGCCTCGTCATGGAGGGAAAAGGGGAAAAATTCTCGTCGACAATATCGACTGCTTCGGTTTGGCCATGGACGATCATGGATTTTTGTATGTTACTGACTTCGTGAGACACGAGGTTCGACGCTTTCGATCACATGCTGACTCACAAGGAACTGTAGTAGCTGGTGGACATGGGATAGGAAACCGAAACGATCAACTGAATTGGCCGGCTCATCTTTTTATCGATCGAGATCACTCTTTGTATATTTCAGATGACTATAATCACCGAGTGATGAAATGGTAAGAAGGTGCTAAAGAAGGTTCAATAGTAGCTGGTGGTCACGGCATGGGTAATGAAATGAATCAACTGCGGTATGCGAAAGGAATTTTGATCGACGGCATGATTACAGTATATGTAGCAGATTGGGAGAACCATCGGGTAATCCGATGGCCTCAAGGAAGCACTGGGGGGAGTGTGTTGGTAGGTGGAAACGGTCAAGGAAATGGACCGAATCAGTTTGATGGATGCGGTGGATTGTCCTTCGACAATCAAGGTCATCTTTATGTGGTCGATTTTGGAAACCATCGAGTTCAACGATTCTCAATCTTATGAACATAGTTTATGTGTGTCTATCGAATTAGTACAATTTTTATCAATAAGTTGCCACTGTACCTGGTTGACTCTTGCTTAATATACCATTAGGGCTCAACAAAAACTCTGAAAATATCAAATCAACATATATAGCAAAAAAATATTTTTAGTTTTATTTTATTAAATTTTATAAATAGTGATAGCTTGTCGAAAACTTCTTTAAACACTTCCAGGAGACTATTCTTGATTCTTTTAGAAATTTGCTGACATAACGATTATTTCGTGTAATTTGTCAAATTACATCTAATATAATGGCTTAGCCAAATATTAGATAGTGCAAGAAGTAAAACTTGGAATGGGTACGGATGTGGCTTTATGTTATCTTAACCCATACCCACACCCGTCTAAATTCAAGATTATGCTCTCCAATTAACCATTTAGGTCGATATTTATTCCTTGAAAGAATATTCCGGTATAATAATAAAAATTCATTCATTCAAAACAAAATACTGTAGCATAAACTTGTTTTAATAAATTATTTAATGTTGTCTCAATGGTCAAGACGTAATTAAATTGATTATTCATTTTGAGTCATTCCATGCATTTACATGAGCAACTATTTATTTCTTCTATTTTACTATTATTATATTGTCATTGATTTATGGTAGATGAAATATTAAACTAAGTTCAGTATTATAAAAGATCATTCCTTAACTCTTTCTTTATTGCTACAATAAGAATAACAAAAAATGATCGCCAGCGATCAAAACATTTTCAAAGCGACATATATGAATGTGTAAATCCATTATATTAATATTGTTAGACTTTTATCTAGTTTTTTATTGTTATTGTCGAATTGAGAATAGTAATATTAGATGTAGATTGTGTCATAAGAGCCGTAGATAGTTCACCTTTTAGTTTTTGATGATATGAAATACAATAACAAAATGATCGTAATTCATATTTATCTTGAATACAAGCGGATGTCTCGCCATAAAGATTAATACGTAGAATATCACTATTTACTTCAATTTTTTCCGTTTTTTCATGATGCAGAAGACGAGTTTCAAATATTCCACCGGATGGTGATACTTCGAAAAGTACCGTATAAGAATGCGTAAAATTTGTAGTTTGATTATCGACTTTCTTTGTGATGGATACTTTTTCGACTTCAGCTCTAATAATTGTTTTTAGTTCGAGTGGAAGGCATAAATGTGCATGTAACTTTAATTTTACATTATTTATATGATTAATACTAGCTAGTGTTAATTCTTTAATCACAGGTAATGCTGTATCAAGTGGTGTACTGCGTGAACATGGACAATATTTTTCTAAGAAAACAGAAGCTGAAATTTAGACAAATGAGAATAATTATTTACCGGGTATACCAGCTGCTGAGCAATTTCGTTCGGGAATAGGATGAAATAGTGATATACCCGAGGTTGTCGGCTTCCAATCGACTAAAAGAGGATCAAATATAGATGGTTGTTCTACCATCTTTAGAATATTTGCTAATGTTTCGTAAACATCCCACCAAGATGTTAACACTAAATATAATAATACAATTTGAATTTATAGTTCAAATATAAAAAGTGGTGTGAAGGTAAAGATGAAAAGCTTACAAACTAGAGAACAAGCTGATTGTTTTTTTTAGTCTCATTAGATACTCAAAAAGTAAATGGCAAAATAAACTGCGTTTTTCTCTCTCAGAAAGACCTTCCTTAGAGGAACAGGCAGTGTCTCTTTGAATTCAATGTCGCTAATAAATAAACTTGGTTTAGAGCATTTACATACTTTTTTCATTGTCTCTTAAATTTTTCATAGCTTGTGGAAATTGTTTATCAAATGATTTTGGAAATAGCATTGAATAAAATGGCAATTTAACTTCAAAACCACCAATACGTGTAAGTCGTATACGATGTTGTCGATGACCGTGATCTCCGCAGAATATTAATATTGTATTATTTAATAAATTTTTTTGAACTAAATTTTCAAAAAAGCTTTTTAAATCATAATCAATCCAAAAAAGTCTTTCTAAATAATCATGACTCATTTCATTCATTTTCATAATACCAAACGTTGGATAATCTAATGTTTTATGATGTATACTTAAAAATTGTTCAAGCCAATTTAATGATAAATGATGTAATAATTTATTTAAATAACATGGCCTAGGATTCGAATTTCCCGGATATCTGCTATAAGACATTGTTTCATACAATGCTAACCAGTACGGACGTAGATAATAATCAGTTGGTACTTGGCGAAAACCATTTTTTAAATTATAAAAAGCACTGTCACGCCATTCTTCACTAAAATAAGTTGTATAATTTAATCGAGAAAAATTTTTTACAATAAATGGATAATTATCAAATGGTCCGGGGTAGTGAATAATCTTTTTAACTTGATAGCGTTTTTTAGTTTTTGAATCAACTCTTGTTTCTGTTCGAATGAATTCATATCGACTATCATTCGTGTTTGGGTTTTGAAAGCTAGTTGCTTTCTGGCCAAATAACATAGGAACAATATTTGCAAATGTACCATCACCAACAATTGTGTGGCGTTGAAAAACATATAAACCTTGAGATCTCAAATAGGATAGCGTTTGTGGTAATGCTCGACGTGCTTGCAAATCGCTTACAGCATCCAATATAACCATGACTACAGATGGTGGTGGTGAACGATTTGATGATGATGATGATGGTGATGGTGAAGGTAATAAATTTGATAACCAAGTATTTTCTGGTTTACTATGCCATTGGCTACGTGAGAGAGGCGGTTTCTTAAGTCGAAATAATGGATGAACATATTCGTAGAGAAGACCAGAATATTTATTTAATGATATTGATTTTTTACTGGATGAGTTTGTTTCTGCCTTACTTGGACATTTATAGCCACTAAATTGAATAATACAATTTTTCTAATGACAATTAAAATTGATTCATATCATGAAAAAAATTTGTTTATTTTACAAATAAAACATGTTTATTTTAATAATCAGAAAATTTTAATTATTTAATATAAAATGTCAGCAATCAAACACCGCAAAGCTCGACTATTTATCGAAACTGCTATATAGTGAGAAACAAATAGCCTAAATGACTTTCGTCATAATCCTTATGTCGAATCGAAAAAATAATAACATAATTTTGACATATGTCAATTTTCCTAAGCTATCTTTGGAATGCATCAACAACAACCAGCTGTTATTCAGTAAACTGGAGAAAAAAAGAAATTCACTGAAACTCTCTTTTCTTTCCATTGTTTATCTGATGTTAATAATATCGCATGGCGAATTGCTTTCACATAAGAAGATAAGTACATAAATATCTCAACAACTCGTAGCTCATTATTAAATATCAAATATCTCACTTGAAACGTTCATAAACTCTATCACAAGTACTTAAGAAAAAAAAATCCATCGATTGATTTATAAATGCTCAATCCATTAAAAGTCTTTATACATGAAAAATTCGTCAATAAAACGAAAATTTTGTACAATAACTGATACGGAGACATTCACCAATACGTACATCTGACACTTAATCTTTTAAATATCAATATAGAATTTTTTTTTGTTTGATTTAAGATCATATAACGTATTTCAAATCTTTCGCATAACATGACGATGCATGTAAAGGTTTTCTTCTTTACGATTCAAAATCTGAGAATAAAACATAAATCTTACCAAAATGTTCCTTGATTAAAATATTTTGTTGTATCATTGTAGCAACGTGCAACAACAAAATCAGTATCGACTATTGCTTCTGTCTGGCCATTAACAATTAAGATTGGATCGGATAATGTATATGACCAATCACGAAAATATTTCTCTTCAGGATTTCGTCCAATTTTTAAATAAACACAATGCGTTATTGAATTTGAAAAAGAAGTTTGATTCACTGTTTGATTAATATATAATTGTGTATTATTGATCACATTGATTAAATTTTGTTTATTCGTCGGACAACGATAGACCGATTTTATATGTATAGATTTTGCAACAGTTGAATCCCACGGATCGAAACGAGGTATATAGCACCGAGATGATGACGATAAATACTGATCATTTTGTTCATTGTAACTATTTTGTATAAATGATTGTATCGACAAATCAACAGATGAAAATGGTACTGGCTTTATCAGGATCAAGCGATGATAGACAATAAGAAAAAATATTATATTCAACGTCACAAGAACATAAAGTAGATGATAATGTTTTCGAATACGAAATAATAGCATAGTGATAAATCTTCAACTAGAAACATTAAGTTAATTCGAACATTGCCTAACAGAGTCAGACAAAAGAAAAAAAATGTTATCTAAAAGGTAAAAGAATGTAAAATGGTCAATTACGACAAAACATCGATTCGGTGCCACTTCATATGTAGTTCGTTTTTTTTTTCATTGATCAACTTAGATCATATTTCGTATGAAGCATTATATCGATAAATAATAGTGAAAAGAAAAAAAAAATCTGCCTTCCAGTATATAAATTGAAGCCACATGCGTATATTGACTTAAGTTTGAGAATATGTTCGAATTACATTTATCTTCGCATTGATCAGCTAATATTGACTCCAGCACATGTCTAACGAAACAGTTCTACTTTCAGTTGTAATAACTAACTGTGTGCTACTCGTTTAATGTAATGAAAATAAAAAAAATGATAAGAGTAGAAAGAAAAAAAAATGCTGTAGATACGATAAACTTCTGAAGGCTACGCAATACTTTCTAGCATAAGACTTAAAAATAAGATATTGCGATTCTTGGAATATTTATCAGTCAATCAAGTGCAAAAGTTTGTTGATTTTTACATGAAAAAAAGTCAATAATTTCCACAAAGAAAAGAGATAGCAGCAGAAAAAAGCGCGTTAAACTCTATGGGAATTTTCTTACATCAGCTACAGAAGTTGAAATAAAAGAACTTGTGTATTTTATGACTAATCTGAATAATAAATTACGCAAATTCTATGAACGTCTTAGTTAATTGATAATTGATTTATTTCCTATTTAGATGACTGATCAGTTTGTTATGTGAATATTCTAAACAATCCTCTTCTTCTTTCTTTCTTTCTTTTGCTTTGGATACACTTTTGAGAGAAAAACAAAATTTGTCTAAGAACAAATAGATATTTTTCATACTGACCTTATCGTTTTATCTTGCAGCCAGAAAATTTTATAGATATGATAGTTGAAGATTGAATTACTCATCGCGTAGCAAAAGAATTCTTCGATTTGTTTCTTTCCACGAAATACCCAGCATTTAACTCGTATCATAGCTATGCTTACTTGAATGATTTATGATGATTTTCTTTTTCTCTTTGCTAGCTCGCTGCTTTTTGCTGCATCGCTTATTTTTCTCCACTTCCTCGCTGTTTATTCTTGATAATGCTCGAGGATGTTTTCTTCCTCTATCTTCTTGCTTTCTTATTGACCGGACGTACAAAAATGGTACACACCATAAACGCCTATCGGTTGGTACGTTTCGGCTGTGCGAAGAAACAGAACACATAAAAGAACTGCTTTATTGAGATAAGAACGTGCTATGACACATCCGAAGAAATAGATAATGCAATTCTGGGTCTATGCTAACAGAGTTAATCTTCTTAGTGGTGTTTATTTTCAGTGGATATGTTTAACTATTTATGAAGATAAAAATTGATTATTAACGATCGAAGCTAAACAAATTTACTCGAAATAAAATTATTATTAAATTGATTAAAAAGAAGAAAAAAATCACGCAGCAAACATAGATACTATCTGTTCTAAATTTCATTGTGAAGTCAAAAGAAAGAGCTTTTATTCTGAAAGCAATCAGAAACAGAACTTCCTTTCTTTCCATGTGCTAGCTAACACAAATTCAAGTGAAGCCATTATGTCACGCTTTTCATTAGTGCACTGTCAGCTATTTGAATTAGTAAAATATTTTTATATTTACCTCATCGGCAATGAATTGTTTTCGGATGAAATCTCATTTACTGTAGGAATCAATTCAATTTAAAGTGAGAGAAAGTTTCTATTCACGCTCAAATGCAAACTTCCAATTAGTTACGCATCTTGAAATTCATAAACAATCACGAAAATTTTTCATTGCTCTTTATTCGGAAAAAAACGTCCAATGTACGCAGTGTTACGAGTTCATAGTAACAGAATAGAGATAATAGCATAGAGTGACTACCAAAGTCATGTAACAAGCAAGTCTGTTGCTTTTTTTATATGTCAAACACTAGATAACTTAAAATAATTCAATTTTCATTTGATTTATAATGATATTTTAATCATCGAAATAGATGAAATACTATCATAGAAAATTGGGCTTATGGCTTAGCCTTCTCATGTTTTCGATCGGAAACTCAAAATCGCTGTTTTTGACCTCTACGATGGAAATGAACTTTAATACAAATTGACTAATTTTGAAAGTATGAAAAATAACAATAAACTTGTTTAATGAATGCTTTTGGTAACCATTGTATTTCATTGTCTACTATCAACTCACAAATATACGGAATCTTCACATTGAAGTACTGCCACCCGATCAATGGATCATTAAAAGAATAGGTGATTTTCTACGATGATCTAGATTTATATGACATAAAGATAGAACAGTGAAGTCGACTTTTTTATTATTTCTCTCCCTTTTTCTGGTAAAAACTAACCAAAAGCAAGAAGTATTTTCTTTTTGTGTTCTGAATAGCAAAATTGAACAAACATAAACTTGAATTTGAGATTTATTTGATTTCACATCATAGTTTAGCCAACAAAGTGTCAAACATGTTGTCATTATTGAGTATTAGTTTTATTGAATAAATTCCACCATTTGTTGTGGTCAACATTTTTTTTTCTGACAACAAAACTACATCAAATTTATTGATTTTTCTTTGTAATTATGTCACATATTTATAAAGATGCGCTTTTCTTTCCAAGTCGGAAATGCATGGCTGCTGCACGTTTACCAAATCGATAAGGCATAGCCGATCGTTTTCCAAATCGATACGGTATAGCCCATGTACGAGGCTCACCACCATGAACAGACGGATTGCCAGTACGAGATTTCGTGTGTGAATAACGTTTGTGAACTGCTTGAGGCCATATTGCTTCATTGTGATGAGGATGTCGATGATGATTATAATTATACTCTCCATCACTATCACTAGTACTGAAATCATCGTCACTAAATGCAATTTGTTTGGAATCGTCAATAGTTTGATAATGATGAGTGACAGCAGACGTTTGCGGTTGCTAATATGAAGAAAAAAATCAAGCGTTCAAAATGCTTTAAACATATTTTAACTGACTTCATTATTATGAGCATGAGTTGCTTGTTCGATTGATTGTGTTTTTTTTTCTGCAGTTGTTATAGTAACCATTAAAAGAACAACTATAGATAGTTGCAGGAAAAACATATTTATTGTAGTCATCTGGTTTCTTGTCTTGTAGAAGGATGAAAGAAAAAGATATCTATGAACTGAAAAAAAGAAACGAAAATCCAAAAATGTTCATAGGTATGTAAAAATCGATGTAAAATATAAAAAATTTGATTAAAAATGACGCGATGCTGTTGGTCCTTGTTGACCGTAGCCCGTATAGCTCAGTGGTAGAGCGCCAGTCTTGTAAACTGGAGGTCCGTAGTTCAATCCTGCGTGTGGGCATCTCTTTTTCGTTTTCAAGGCACTTTTTCCGCATGCAAAATTTATCTAAGTGTTTTTGTGGCAGCTGACGCCAAATTAAATTTTAAAATAACTCCATAGGCATCTGCATTGAATTGATTCGTGTAACGTACACCTTTCTTGAGGAAGAAAGAAAAAACCGTAGTCGTTGAAAATGTTTTTTTTTGTAGAGTTAATTTAATAAAGAATAGCATCAATCTGTTCTAATTCTTTTCTTTCGACCTTCATCTCAATAGTAGAACTTTACTCATCAACTGTTCTGACAACAATCTCTGAAACAAACAACAAAGCAAATGTATAAACGTAGATTGATACTTAACTCAAAATTATCCGTACCAATAAAATCTTCTGTTTTTTGCTATGAAAGATGGCGACTAAATAATCAATGAAAACATTGATATAATGATATATAATGTAATCGAATAAGAATAAGAATAAGAATAAGACGAAGAAAATACTTACATTCTCTCTTGTTACTTTCTAGAATAATAGATTGATGAGTTTAGAAATAATTCTCTATTATTTCTTCTTCGACTTCTTTTTATTTTTGTTGAATGTAATAACAACTTGAGTTTCTAATTACATTGACAAGATGGAAAAGTTTGTTTGCTTCTTCTTCTTCTGATTGTTCAACAAAATTAAAAAAAGTATTGTTTTTCTAAACAATAGAAATGATGACAGTGGAGCCCATCGAATGCAAGTGTTGTTTCATTGTTAGTCTTGCTAATTGGATATACATTACATGATAGGACAATTTGTAGTAACTGAAAATAAAAGAAAGTCAAAGAAGAAGGGGGACGGAAGGAAGAAATTCAGGTTATATTTAGATAAATGAGCTAGTATTTAACTAGTAATAGAAAAAAACTAAAATAAGATCCTGCTTAGAGGTGTCAGATTAGCATTAACAATGAAAATAATGCATTGGTGTATTATGGTAAAGAAAATACTTAATGCGGATTTATTCCCTATTTTATCATTCCTAACACTGATATTACTTTTAATTCTAAAGATTTATTATTAATCAATTTTCCTGGAGAAATAAATCAATGTATTATTTTCACTTTTAATGCTTACCCGACACCTCTAATCCTGCTATAAAAAGTTAAACGGTGCATTGCGAATAAATTCTATTCAAAAAATAATTCCATAACTAACCAATTAAAAAATTAAGTATTTTAATGTGAAAATCAACACGTATAAAAACCCATGTTCGTACATTTATAATTGAAGTGTGAGACATTCGCGCACTGCGTGATGTCCAACGTGCACCTATTATCATATTTAATTCACCTTGCCGTTATATTTTTTTTTCTTGTCTGTTCTCTCTCTCACTCTGATATATATTATGATATTATATATATTGAATCTTTTACAGTACGTACATAAATTCGTACGAAATGACTTCTGTTTCAGATACACCGCTTCACCGAAGTATTTGTTTTCTGATAATGACAAAATTAAACATTTATTTCTTATGTAGGTAGTATGCCATCGCCAGCAATGATAGAGAGGCCATCATTATTATCGGCATCAAGTGGTTATGAAAACTATCGAGGGTTTCTAAATCTTCTCTATGTTATTTTGGGAATAGGAAGTTCTCATCTTGTCATAGAAAATATTCTCAAGTATGGATTATTAGTTGAATTCGATTGGCCTTTAAGATTTTTAAAAGATCCAACTAATTGGCCATCAGTTAGTTATTTTTCGTCAATATTTTTTCTCCTTGACATTTGTCAAATATCTTCTAGGTATTTCTTATTCTATTGATAAATCTATTCATTTTATTTCAATATTGGCTTGAAATACAATTAATGAAAGTAACATCAGCGAAAAAACTTTTAATATTTTTCGAAATAATTAATATCAGTTTAATATTAATCTTTCCTGTCATATATATACATCATCGTCAACCGAATGCTGTAGGTGCTTTCATAGCTGTATGCCTTTATTCCATCGTTTTTTTAAAATTAGTGTCCTATACACATATTAATTATCGATGTCGACTAGTTCTATTAAGGAAAAAACATGATGAAACAAATTCTGTTGTGATATCAAACGGTCCGATAATTTATCCAAATAATTTAACAATAAAAAATCTTTATTATTTTCTATTGGCACCAACACTTTGTTATGAATTAAATTTTCCACGTACACAACGTATACGTAAAACATTTTTATGTCGGCGTGTTGGTGAAATACTTGTGATTTCTTCATTGCAATATTGTTTAGGTCAACAGTGGATTCTACCCATATTACGTACGCTTCATCGTCCACTGCATCATTATTCACTATTAGAAAATATCGAACGCCTTTTACGCCTTGCATTACCAAATCATTTAATATGGTTATTATTATTCTATGTTTATTTTCATTCTACATTGAATTTATTAGCTGAATTATTATGTTTTGGCGATAGATTATTCTATCGAGATTGGTGGAATGCAACTGATTTATATGAATTTTGGAATAGATGGAATACAAGTGTACACGATTTTTCTAAGCGACATGTTTATCATCCATTAGTTGATCATTATGGTTTTAGTAGATCGCTTGGAACATTGACTGTTTTTGTAATTAGTGGTTTTTTTCATGAGGTAATTCAACGGTTTCTTCGTGGAATTTTTTTTCATAAGCATTTTTCCTTTAGTATTTAATTAGTGTTCCATTACGTATGATCCGTCCATGGAGTTTTCTTGCTATGATATTACAAGTGCCAATAGGTCTTGCTGTACGACGAGTAAAAAATGAGAATAAAACGTATGGAAATATTGCCGTATGGGTGTCACTTATACTTATACAACCAATTGCTATTCTACTCTATATTCAAGATTTGTTTTATAGAGATTTTGTAAAACATTAAAATGAAAGTTTTTGTAGTTTATCATTTTTTTTATATCGATCATATACATGCTTGAAATAAAAGCAAACAAATAAATCTATGGATAAGACTTATAGAAAAAATATCAATTGCTAGATATTTCTCTGTTGTGAGATTATGTAAGCAAGGGACTAACAGCTGAAAATATTCTTTTCTTGTTTATACAGCTATCTACTTCTGTGAATAATTGTAGGCATATGAAGTGCATCATTCATCGATGAGATCCTTTTATAATCTGCATAAACAAAAAACAAAGTCATAGATCATATTGCATGATTATATTTTTCGATTCGATCAAGATCCAATAAGATCTCTATAAGTTCATCTTCTCGCCTGATATGATGAAGTAGAAAATAAATAATAAATAGTCCATTATCGATAACAAGTTCAAAAGTTTACCAAGTCAAAAGCTAATTTGCAAATGGAACTTAGGATCATTCTAATGACATTTGTATTTATCAATCAGTTTTATTACAGCGACGAATAAAATATATATATTTACATTGACAAGAAAAACGAACTTAAAATATATATTTCGAAAACATTTAAAATGCAATAAAAAAAAAGAAACGAAAATGATATTTTTGTGTGACAACATAAAACAATCATACTCTACGATACAATATACTTGTTGGGGATTGACTCGTATATGAAATAGTATTGCACTTCATTCAATAGAAACAAAAAATATATAAGCATTCTTTTATTTTCTTATTGATTAGTTGTAAAAAAAGCATTACGAAAGACTACCACAAATGACATTTGTTACTCGGATTCATATTTGATTTTGATTGACAAGAAAACGTCTGAGCAAATTCAAGACTATTTGCAATTGTGCCCATGATTCGTGAACGTGGCGGCGAATGAGGATCGTTGGTTAAATCATAATGCATGGCATTCGGAGTTTCAAGATTACACCAGCTCTATAAAAAAAAAATTAATTAATTCAACAAAATGTATAACTATTTTCATACATGAGCAAAAGCAATAAAAAACAATTGGTCGTTATTATATGATAAACCAGGTAAAGGAAGATTATTGCCACTATTTACTGTGCGTTGTTTATGCTTTTGATAAGTGTGATAAGATAATTTTAAACCGCCATTATCGGCGATGTTTTCACCTTGAAAGAAAAAGTTAAAATAGAAAAATCTTGAAAATGATATTAAAAAGCCAAGGTTTAGCATAAAAAAAACTAGCTGCTCTTACGCTTAGTAGGATCATTTTATATCTAAAACAAATATTAAGTTTGAATCATAGTTTTGCTTTTTCGGTATTATTATATCCTATGAGTAGCAACTAGAAATTTGGAAGATTCACGTTTGCCTTGCATATCTCTAATGGTGATAACTATCTTCAGGCAGAGGCACAACCCTATATAAATCTTCAACCATACGAAAATTTCACTCGTTATCTTAACACTTATGCCAATATTTGATTAGTCACGTTGCTGATAGTCGTATTCCTATCTTAAAATGTGCTATGTCTCTTGCAAAGTAAATATTAATCGATAAGAATCAAATAGAAATTACTCAATGTTCTTTGACCATTTTCATTTTGTCCATCAAGCGCAAAACTTGAATATTGTTGAACAAAACATTTAGTTCTTTCTTCGAATTTATCTAATGCTGATTTTGTCCACCAGGCACGCATATTTCCATCCGAATCATATTCTCGACCTTGATCATCAAAACCATGAGTTATTTCATGACCAATAACCTAATAATCACGAAAAGAAGGAAAAAAAGCAAGATGTTGAATATGTAACTATGATATTTAAATGTAAATTGTACTGTTCCAATGGCTCCATAATTAATTGAAATGGGTAAATCTTTATGAAAAAATGGTGGTTGAAGAATACCAGCTGGAAACACAATTTCATTAGCCGATGGCGTATAATAAGCATTCACTGTTCGTGGTGTCATACTCCAACTGTTAAGAAACAAAAATAGAAATCAATTTTGATCTTTTAGTATCAAATAAAATATTTTACTCGGTAAGATCAACTTTTTGTCGAAATTTTAAAAGAGACCGGCGACGTTCACGTTCTAATACTTTAATACCATTATCGAAATATTCATTCTCAATCATGGAATAACCGGTATAACTATTATAAGTAAAACAAAAAAGCAATAATTTATTTGCTAATCAGTAATAGAGAAGAAAAAAAAAGAAAAATTCATTATCTATCTACTGAGAATTAATGTTCATTTTTACAACTTTTAACTATATTTATCATTAAACTCTGACGTATGATTTTATCAGTGAATTATCCATTGGAAATTAAATGTTGATTTAAGCATCCGTTGTGTCGAATGGAAACATTGAAAAATCTTAATTGATTTAATCAGATTCTATTTGACGTCAAGTCACGATTATACAACAAGACTAATAAACTAATTTACTAGAAAAAAAAAACATCAATCTAATCAACACATGAATTATCCTTGGAGAAGTCACGATGTAACATGTAATTATTTGATGTCAAAGTTCATAGCACGTGAAAAGTTACCTATCAATAGAATTATTTCCCATGTGGGAAGAATTTTCAAAAACTGAAAATAACAACAACCAAGTAATTACTTTTAATGAGATCATCATCGGCATGAAATTGCCTAATGGCTTGCTTTAGAAGAAAATCTTTAGTGTTGCATCTAACGTTTCAAATAGACTCTAGACATGAAATTGATACGTGTTATGTTAGTCATTAGAGGATCCCAAAGGATGAATACCATTCGATCTAGAAATCGATCGGACATAGTTGGTGCTTTCTTCATATATGAAGTTTAATAGGAAAAAGTGATCAACACATAAGAGGTAGGTTCTATCGGCATAGTTGGTTATCTAAAATTTCGGCGTACTCTGAATGATCAAATTTCCGATATTGATGAAATTCAAAATGGCTTCATATTACATTTACAATCGATGTGTACTATACGTTTGTAGATAAGACGAATCTTTTTATCGGATCATTTGTTTAGATAGATTTCGTTTAAACAGATAAAAGAAAGTTTCAACTACAAGCGAAAAAACTAACCGTTCATTTAATTTTGTTTTATTATCTAAGAAATCAGGATAGCCAACTTTTTCAGTAATCTTTGAAATTTTTCTCTTGGCTTCGATTCTTGACTGTTCATCAATCCACTGAAGTTGATTAAGATTTTCGTCAAACGTTTGACGAATATTTTTAATTAGTTCATTGGCTTTTTTTCGATCTTCTTCACCGAAGACTGCTTTTATATACAGAGCACCTTTAGAATAAAAATGGATAAGAAAACAAATCTGTTTTTTCTAAATTTTTATTTACCAAGTCCATAACCGAAAGCAGCGTCAGTTTCTCTCACACAATATTCCCATCGATCAGGTAATGATTCCATTCCATAAAGTTCTTTGAATAAAGGTAATGTTAATTTTTCAAATGCAAGCGATAAATGCGAACTTAAATCGAATATAAGTGAAAATACTATATGATCGATAACAATATAACTTTTCTCAGGTGTTAATAAATAATCTTTCAATAGTGATGATACATTTAACATAAGACCAAGTGATAGAACAATGATTTGATCGTTTTCAGTTAACTTGATTGGACTCGACACATTGATATTTAACATTTCATTCAAGAATGAATATACATCTAACCCTATCGGTTGATACTGTTCTTGAAGTTGTTTTAAAGTCATTAAAAAATATGTTTCATTGGGCTTTTGTAATACTTCCATTGGTACTAAAAAAATTATAAATCAAAATAATCTTTTTTTATTAATATTTTACAATATAAATAAGAGCCAATATCAATGAGAAAATAAAATACTCCTATATTAACTGCTAGACCTTGAATCATAACTTTTATTGTTTCCATCCTTTCTTATGCCTATGAGAGTTTCTATTGTATTTTTTCAATTATAGGCACACAGTATCTAGAAGAGAAAGTAACTAAATTCTCAAAGGAATATCCGCTATTCAGTTCTTACATTAGACATAACAGATTCATATTCTAGTAGTATCATAGTTGAAACCTGAATTCAATTATTAAATTACGATGTAAGTATTCACGACAGAGATGAAATCAGTACCGGTTACCTTTCTATCTTGTTTACTTTCCTTATTTTATTATATACAATGTCGGCGTTATGTGAAAAATTAGCTAATTGCAAGCATGAATAAAGGAAGGCTTCACTAGTTGAATAATTAGATTCAAGTCAATCAAATTCGTCATATTCATGAGGATTCTTTACTTATCAACAACATGAGACTTGAAAATAATTCGATTAATCACTTACAACTGATTTTTGCCAGTTCAATTTCGAATTGCATAATATCATAAATACGTTTCATCGATTGATTTTTTTCAAAACCAAGTAATTGCAGTAATTCCGAAGCAACATTTATATATGTATCTCGAATCTTAAAAATAAATTAAAGAAATAAAATGTTGATGGATCAAGTTCTGTTTCTTTTTTTACAATTTTGTTTCTTGTATCTGTCTCTGGGTCACTTCGATTATTTAACGATGAATTTAAATAATAATCACGATTATCAAGTCCAAGTTGAGGTTGATTGATCTTTTTATTATAAATACAACAAAGAATGAAAAGAATTTTCCAATACATTTTACTTACATGAATCACATTCCATGTTGAATTCTTATCATCAGGTCCAATAGATATTGGTAATAGATATGAAAAACCGTATTTAGTCGAAAGAATTTTTGTTAAAGAAACAAATAAACGTTCCCAAGTTTTGTTTTGATCAATATTCATCCAGTCATTTATTGTTAAATTAAAATTCTCTTTTAAAAATCTTTCTAATGGTCGAGCTTGTTGTTGTTCAATTTCACTTATATTCATACATGATTGATAGAATTTGATTGCTTCTTGTTCAGCAGTAAATGCTGATAAAGAATTTTTAATCGATGTTTGCTCAAGAATACTTTTAAGTATAATGAGATTTTTTCGACTTAATTCTTTTGTAGTTGACCATCCCGAATGACCCTTAGGAATAATATTCGTTTTTATCCATCGACCGCAAACAAATTCATAAAAATCATCACATGGATTAATTGTTTGATTCAATCCCGAATAGATTGACGATGATAGTTGTATGCATATTGGAGTTAAACATAACTTTTCAGGCTCTTGTTTGTCATGATGACGATAAAAACATGATAGAAAAATGCAAAAAGCCACAAATAAAACAATGAAATTTGTTAAAATCAAACAGCGTTCCAGACGTGTACGCTTTGAAAAATAAACTTTCATATGATTTAAATTGTAACTCGCTGTTGAAGGAACTGCATTCGAAGCATAATTACGTAGTTGAAGTTTAAACTCTAATTGATGTGGTTCATCAACATCAAGTTCGGGTAATGCATCGGTTTCATTGATATCAGCTGCGGAAAGCTCGTCATTAAAATGTTTATAACGACTCATTCTTATCCCAATGGTGTTTGATCTTATCTCATAGTTGAATAAAATGTATCGGCATAGAACTCAAGTCAGTCAGTTGACATTAACTATAGATAGCGCTAAGTTTATTCGTGTGTTATACAGAGATTGTAGTGACATCTTGATACAAAATTAATTCATAAAAATATTTAAAAAAACGATCTTACAAACAGAAAAATTTATTTTTCTTCTTTTATCAATATTTTTTTCTTTTTAGCAGCCAATTGAATTTAGTCCGAGCACCGGGATCGTACCTTTGTATAGCTATCATTGCTCTAGGTATTTGAATGAAATTGAACTTTTTTATTTCAAATTTAGAAATCTAGTTTTCTTTGATCAGATCAATAGAATGAATTTCATTTTCATATAAAACTTTATTTAAAAGAGAATTGATAGATCTATTTTTCATTACAAATGCTAGAAAAATTTTGTCATATCAATTAGATTTCAATAAAGATCAGAGACAAAGAAGCATACTTGTGACTAACATCTATAGTATTCCATTCGAGAAAAGAACCTATTGACTGAAAGTAATCATCTTTATTAGAATTTTCAAACCAACAAACAAATCAATCAATCTCATATTTATTAAAGTATAATCTGGTAGATATAGATCATTATCTATGATTCGACTTTTGTCTCATGTAAAAATTAAAACAATGACGTTTTCTGTGGTAATGAGACTCGTTTATGGACAATTCAATCTATTATTTCGAAAGTAAAGGCATTGTACATATTATCTATTGTTTGTCAATCTATGATGCAGTGTCCGTCTAATGCGATTCTAAAAGTGAAAGTCTTTACTTACTCAAACGTAAAAATCTAATATTATTGATATGATCTTAGTACAAATAAGAACTCTACTTGCGATTTCTAGATATAAATTATCATCGATACCTTTATCCAGTAAAAACACTGAGAAGGTTACGCTCTTCCAACATTCGAATGAATCCTATGAAAGAGAAAATTTAATTTTAAATTTCAGATTTTCTCTAGTAGCAATGAAAAAACCTTAACAAAGAATGTCATCGTCCTCTCTAAATTCTCCTAAACCAACAATACCAGTTCTTCGTGGTTCAAAATTTTCTCCATCACTCGAAAAATCTTCTCATCAGCATCATCATCGTACTACATTTCATTTATCAAATTTATTTCAATCGTTAACAAAATTCAGTCGAAATATTCGAACAACGAATTCTTTCGTACGTTCAACATCAACAAATTCCAATGATCCAAATATAAAATTAACACGACGTTCATTTACAAAACATGATTCATTATCATCATCAATAAATCGTCCATCATCTTGTTTTATTCTTCTATCACCAGCCAAACAAGAACAAGAAACATGTTTATTCTTTCAAAAACCAATCGATGAAAATCTTTCACCAAAATCAAATTCCACGTCATCCTTCAGTAAACTAAAACGTGTTTCATCATTTCTCTTACCATTAAAACGTCGACAATCATTATCATTGAATCATAGTCTTCATGAACGATCATTCAAAGCAAAAGAATCATCGAAACGTCGTTCGCGTCTTCTCAACTATTCAATATTTAAACATAAAAATCCAATTTCAACAAATTATATTTTACCATTAGGAACATTTGGATATAGAAAACATTCAAATCCTATTAGATTACAGGAAAAATATTTTATTATTCTATTTGACATCATTCAAATAGATCTTATTTTAGAAATAAGATTAAATAATATCTTATTTAATAATTACGAATCCATACTATATAATACTCCAGATTGGGCATTTATTCAATCAATAAAATCATTTTATGGAATTCTTTTAGACGAACAAACATTAACTTTATTTCAGCCAAAATTATTTGAAAATAATCTTTACGAAAAAATTATCTCTTATGATTTTATTTTTATGCCATTTCATCATATTAAATATGAAGACAGTTCTTTTATTCATATTGGTTATGATTCATTAGCACCAACCACTATACGAATACCTTTAACATGGATATCGAATAATAATTTGTATGATTTTCAAATATCATCAAAGGTTTGCTTAAGGTCATTTTTTATCAACGAAAAAAAAGCATTCTTACTTTCAGAATATTGAATAGATTATGAGGTAAGGTAAATATAAGTAATGCTTATGCTTGTAATTTGCACGCTTTAAGAATAAATAAAAATAGGTGCTTTACACTAGTATTTAAATTCATTGTTTTCGTAAAATTTTCTTTCGTTCCGGAAATAGAATCTATTGATTATTCATTGGAGTTGAAGAATTTTAGTTCCCAAGTTTGGTTGAATATTATTTTAAGTTTAGAATAACGAGATTATAGTATTTTTAGAAAACAAATCTTTTCTTTATTTAGAAACTGCTTATTAAAAATGTGATATCCTTTTGCACTTCGCTTTGTTCTTTTTACGCTTATACATGGTTTGAAGGAACTCTTATAGTACACTCATGGGATTAACAACCTCTTTTTTCTCAACATTGAGGGGCTTACATGTCGATTAATTATAATAATTTATAAATGATCTTTTACGATTGAACACGAGCTCTGTTTTCACTCCAGGAGAGCTAACTTGAATTCCCAAGGTACATTCACAGACTTTGACATTGAAATCGCTCATATATCATTTTGCTACACATGATTCAAATTCCTTTTTTTTAATTCAGTCCTCTTCTTTCATTATCTCGTACACAAAAAAGGAAGTGTGATTACGAAACATTTTATTTAATCGTTTGTTGATAAATCTGTTTGATCCTTTTTTTTTTCTTTTTGTCTCTTCTTTCAAGTTCACAACAGTACGATCTACAACTGAACAACAAAATACAAGATTCATGAATGATCATCATCAACTAATAGGTAGGTGTTCGTGCGTGTTTAAGAAGTTCATTTACGGAAATTAATTTAACGCCGTTGTTCTTAAATTAAGTGGTCACCTGAGAGAATGTGAGTTCTCTCTTTCGGGTAGAGTCAATTGTTGATTTTTCTTTTCTCTCAGTATGAGGTATCATGTTCATTCGATTGGAGAAAAAACTCATCATCGATTCGCGTCTGTCTAGTGGAACAAAATTGAGGGAAAGAGAAAAAAATTCGTTTTCTTCTCTTCTCCGTCTCGTTTATGTATTGGTTGATATTATTTAATCGTCATTTTTCCGTTCGTTCATATATAGATTGAGTATCGTTTCTCTCATAAATTTTTGAACACTCATCTAATAACAAACAGTTTCCTTCGAAAAACTTATCATGAGAAAAATCCGTTTTCGTTATGTTAAAGAAAATGGAAAGTCAACATCGGTTACTGTTCGTTGTAGTGTTAAACGTAAGTATAACTCTTAGATTTCTTTTTCTTTTTTGGTAAATGTAATTCGAAATAGAGAGAATGTTTTTCATTATTCGATAATTTTATCAGTCCTAGAAATCTTCTGCAGATAAGTCTGGCTTCCCGTAGGATAAGCGATTGATCGATGATTGATAAAGAGATGCAATCTTTCAAGAGAGTTAGAGAGAACTTGTTCGTGTTTGAACATTGATTCGTTTTTTTACGAACATCAGGTAAGTGAGTACATCGAATTGTAGCTGTGCTTTTAAATGATTAATACATCAAACGAGTTTTTATGAGCGCTTCGTTTTTTTCTTCTTCTCTGTTGATCATATGAATAAGTCAAGTCAAAATACTGATGATGTGTTTTATCGAGAAGTAAGTTTATTTTTGATTAAAATTTTCCATATGGCGAAAGCATTATTTATTTTATTGCTTGTCGATTTATCCTACAGTTCATTAACATCTAGTGCATGGTAGATGAATTCAATAATAATAATATAAATGATGACGACACCAAAAGGTTAAATTTTTCTTTTTTGAAACTTTACAGACTTCTTCTCGATGAGCACATCAAGAAAAACTAACTGAATTAAACAGATACTATTATCAACATCATCATGGCATATAGAATTGCTAAGTAATCTCAATGATGATGATGAGAGCGAATAGAATTTTCCCACATTATCTCAGCTTATTTTTTATTGGGATTGTATGTCAATGTAATAGAAAATAAAATGTCATATTCTTATCGCTCTTCATTGAGAGTATGTATATACATTTTTGCTAATTCAGTTAAGAAACACGTTCGTGTCAAGATGTTAATCAAATAAAAAAAAAGAAGACATAGATTAAAACCTATCAACAAAGTCAATGTACATTGAAAATAGAGCTTAAGAAAAGAGAGAGAGAGAGAGAGAGAAATACGTATATCTAATATCTTGTGTAATGAATATTGAAATGTATACAGAAGGTGTAGAAAAGTTATTTCCGGATACAAGAAAGACTACACAACGATGATTATGTCCTTGGGCGAAACGGTAGTAACTAAATATAATGGTCTTTTATTTGTATTGTTTTAAGACTAGTCGAATGTGTTAAAATCTTAACTCTTGAAAGGCTTTCCGTGCAAATGATTGTTTGTTGATCTGCGCTCTCTCTCTCTCTCTCTGTGTCGTTTTATTTTCTCACACACAGTGGGAAAGGTGTATAACTGTTGTTTCAACAGCAATTAACAAGAGGTCAATCAACTGAGTTCAAATGATTGACAAGATTAGTGGACACGAGTTCATAAGACAATAACTATCTGTCGGTATGTGTTGTCTTTAAATTCGTACTGAATCTGATAAAAAATACATCTGCATGTTGTTGTTCAAAAGAAAAAGTCAAGGTTATTATCTCATTTATCATATAAAAGAATAAAACTGACGTTAGTTTAAACTATGTTCAATATAAACAACATGAATAATCGTTATTTAATGAGAATGGATTTTCTATACACCTGATCAATCGAATTAGTCGTTTCAAGAAGAAAAACAGAAAACAGCTAACACTTAGTATCTGTTCGAGTGTAATGAAATAGACGGGAGAGAGAAAAAAATAAAGAATTTATTTTCTTTTGTTTTTATATGCAGCTATATTTTGCTTTTCTTAGGTAACGCTTCATTGATTTCTGAAGCACTTCGACATTATCAACGATTAGAAAATGGAAATAACGGAGAAACAAATTTACCAAAACTAACTAGAAAATCGGACAAACATCGACGACCATATCATATAAGAGAATGCAAAATTCGACCGATCATCGTTCAACAAGCTGTCACACATAAACTTAAAGTTAGTTATAGGAAACGAAAAGAGACTTACGTTAGAAACTCCACTGAAGAAAAAACGAAAAATCTTTTGAGGCATTGTTATGAATGGAGGTCATCATGGACACAGAAAACAGTACCTTTTGTTTTGTGAAAACGAATCAACCCTGAGCTCTTCGGTAGCATTCCTAAACATGCTACCAGTATATTATTTTATTCTATAAATAAAATAAAATCTATGATGTAATTTCAATCATCTGATATCAACTCCTTAAATAAATATTTATTTATTTATTCAGCCAACATCTCACCATTTCGATCCAATTCAATTACGTCGTAAGCAATGTTCATCAACATTAATCGATGAAGAGATTCCCATAATATCGAATCGTAATCTTCATTGTCTCGCAGCTTCTTCCTCCTCGTCATCGTCCGGTAAATAGAAGAAAAAAGAGAAATCTATTTTAAAACATTTTATAACTTGAATAGGCTTTCGAAGTAATTCTCGTTCATCAAGTATACAAACATCATCGTTAGCCGGCTGTATAGCTAATACAGAAATCCCTATGTATGCTAATGTTGTCACAATTGAATCATCAAAATTAGTGGATAATATACTGGATGTCAATAAAACACCTAAGCTATGGTATAATCAAAATGAACTACATCAGGATGGCTGGTATCCATCAGCTGATATACGATTAAAACAATGTCAAGATAACTTCAAGCGAGCTAATGTTATCAAAGAAATCTATAAAACAGAACATGATTATTTAGGACATTTAAAAAATTTAGTTGATGTAAGTTCGCCGATGAATTTTTCGATCGATAAAAATAAAAAATTATATTTTTAGGGTTATTTAAAAAAAATGCGTTTACGTAAAGATCTATTTTCGGAGAAACAAATTGAACTATTATTGGGAAATATTGAAGAAATTTATCATTTTCAACAAGCATTTTTCCAATTATTAAAGCTATCGATCAATGAACAAAATCCACATGAAAGTCTTATCGGAAAATGCTTTCTTTTATATGTAAGTTTATATTTATTGAAATTTCAGAGAGATAAAGTATATTTTGTTATGTTTTTAGAAAGAAGACTTTAAAAAATATTCAGATTATTGTATTAATCATCCATTATCATGTTTAGAATTAACTAAACTTGAAAATAATTTTATTTATCAAAATTTTTTTGAAGTAAGCTTTTTTACAAAATTTATCTTTGATTTTTACTCTAATTCATTTATTTATGTAGACATGTCGTTTACAAGCAAACATGATTGAATTAAAATTAGATGGCTTTCTTTTATCACCCATTCAACGTATTTGTCAATATCCATTACAATTGAATGAACTATTAAAATATACAAAGAGTGATCATAGAGATTATGAAAATATTCAACAAGCAGTTATTACAATGCGTGATGTCGCTAGTTTTATTAATGAAAGAAAACGACGAATGGAATATGTTGAAATTATTCATAAATGGCAATCGACTGTTGAAAATTGGCAGGTATGATTAATCAAAAAGTCAAGTGCTCTTAGAACAATGCTTCAGTTATGTTAATTGATGTAAAAGAACAACAGCCATGATCATGGCGTGTTTTAAGAAGTTCCCAAAAACGTATTATCTTAGTTTCTGACTATCCCTAGAATTTTCCAAAGTTGAAAATTGTGTACGCTCTTTCAAAATGCACGATGATCCACCAATATTCAGTGATGCATTTAGGGGGAGGAAATAGGGGAACCCCCCCCCCTCCCCCCGTGAAAAAATAACTGAAAATTTCCACTTATTGTGAATGACATTAATCAGACGTCAATAAAAATTAGTTATTATGTATTAATGTACAGTAACAATATTGGGGGGGGGGGGGGGGGGGGGGGGGGGGGGGGGGGGGGGGGGGGGGGGGGGGGGGGGGGGGGGGGGGGGGGGGGGGGGGGGGGGGGGGGGGGGGGGGGGGGGGGGGGGGG